TGCTTGTCATTGTTTCATATGAAAGGTCATCTCTTCAATCAAAAGTGACACTACTTTTGGAACTAGTAACTAACATGTGTCCCCAAGAGTGTCTAATATAGCCATAAGTGGAGGAAGTGACTTAATTCATTGACTAACGTATCAGTGAAACAGTTTCTGCAGTTTCAAAAAAAAAGAATTCAGGGAATTGACCTTCCGCTGAGTACAGTATTCCACAGAGATGAAAGAACTCCAAATAGCCCAACACTTCCCAAAGGTTCTCTGGGATCTGTCTGTTTCCAGAACACTGGTCTACAGCATTTCTCTCTCCTCTTTAGGAAAAAGAGGCAAAGAGAGAGGTAGTAATGGTAGTACCTGCTCTCTCCGATTTCCACATGAAGCTACCTGCTGTGTGATCTATGTACAGTCTACTAAGTGTCATTTTGGAAAATAAACCTAAGTGATTACTAACTGCCAGGTAATCAGAAAGTCTTACTCATGTGGACTGGACTTATACAATGTTTTTATATTTTTATTAAAATACAGATACTCTTATGATCTCATTTTATTTCATTTGACCTACAAAATAACAGGATATAAATTTGAACAGACAGAGTATTACCTAAAATGAATAATCTTTTTGAGACAAAGTCTTACTATGTAATTCAAGCTGACTTTGAATTCACTATATATGTAGCTTAGGTTGGTCTTGAACTCACTTCCACACTCCTTCAGTTTTCCAAGTGCTGGGACTAGGCATGTGCCACTACATCCAGCAAAATAAATGCTTTTTTTTTTTTTTTTTTGGTAATGGGGCTCCAACTCACAACCTTGCGCTTACCAGGCAGGTACTGTGCTGCTCACCTATATCCCAGGTCCTCATAAGCACATAAATACTGCTTGAAGCTAAATCTCCTCTTAATTCAATGGTTGAGATAAAAGGAATCTTTCTTTTAAAAAAAACCTCTTTTCCTTTTTAAACAGGTTCTACTTTGTTTTAAAGTTAATATAACAGTAGTTTATACATCAGAAAATTTTCAACAAAATAGATCATAATACTATCTTTATTCATAAAGACTTTTTAAAAGTATGATACAACTATTGGTGTAACTGCAAATAAACTGCTTTTAAGGCAAATGCAAAAAAAGAACATTTTGGATTTAAAACACAGATACATATTTAAATCTTTAATATTAATGTATTGTATTTTAATGTTAAAAATCTAGGAGTCACTTCACTTTAAACTTTTCTCAGTGCATACATCAAATCTAACTATATTCCAATGTATTCTAAAGCATTCTGAAGTATTTTCTATGGTAGATGTATTTCAGTTTTTATGTAACATTAGGCAATGAGAGAGGCTAACACTGACAGAAGTAGTGAAGAGAAGCATTCATTTTATCTATATTATTTGAATTATTTACAAGAATATACTTATGCAATACTTATATAATCAAAAACACACTATGCAAGAGAACTGATGGAAGAGGTGAATATATTAAGTTTTTGTGTTTTCTTTACCGAAGATATGGCAATCAGACACAATAACAATGCCAAAGTAGAAAAATGTCAGAAGATAGGTAACTAAGAAATGTGCAATAAAAAAGTTTTCAATAAATATCAAATGGAACTGCAAAAAAAGAAGAGAAAATTATTATACATGAAAATATCTATCAACCAAGATTTACTCATCTTATGGCATATTCTAAGCACTGTATTGTACAAGCTACAGGGAATATTAAGGTCTTTTGAGACACAATGCACAGCCCATACTCATAATTTGGTTAAGAAACTCCACATTTTAAAGATGAAGCATTTGAATATAGAATATACACAGTAGTATATCCTGAATAACAAACGACTGATTCTAAATGAGTTGCTCTACGCTTTGAAGATGAAGATCCCTTGTTAAGGAAAATGTATTTTGCAGACACCCACTATAACCTAATTTTAGATTCAGTGATTAAGAAAATTTAATATGATAAAAAGTTACTATGAACATAGGATCACCACACCAAACAAGCATTATTTAAACAAAACACAAGTTTATTCATTTCATGTAATCAGAAGCAGTTCAGAGCTGATCTTACAGCTTTCCAAACATCGGAAGCCCAGGGCTCTTTGATCTAGTGACTGCCCAAGATGTCACTTCCATCTCATGAACCAAGATGCCTGCCTCGTTCAGTTTCAACATCATATCCTCTTTGCAGCCCAGAAATAGGGTTCATTCTCCTCTCTCTACAAGGAGGCTGAGTATTAGGAGTCAGAATAACCTTGCTTCCAACTGCGGTTCACCCAATTACTAGCTGTGTGTCCTATGAAATAGTTATTTCATCTCTCAAAACATCAGCTTGCCAAAAGTAGGGCGCATACTTCTGCTTATATCCTATTAACCAGAATTGTTCCACAGCACATTTAGTTGTAGGGCACATTAGCAAATGTAATCTATATTCTGGATAGCAAGATGTCTAATATCTACTAAAGAGGAGAAGATGGGAATTTAGGGAGATTCAGGTCTCTGTCACATTTTTTATAAGAATATGTAGTTTATTAATCAGAGCAATACTTTTGCATTTTGGAAAAACAAAAGCAGATATATGTTCAAGACAGGCAGGTTAATCTGCAAATACTTGGTTAAGTATACGGATTTAAGGATCTGCTCACAAACTGGTCTCTGGAAAGCTGTCCCGAGCTCCAAGATGGTCTGGATGATGTTAGCTTGGAACGGTTTCACGGAGATGAGCTGGGCCTGGAAGAATGTGCAAGATTGTGAAATGGATGGGGAAGGGCAACTGAGACAAGACTCGACAGCAAAGGCAGGAGCCAAACAGGGTAGTTTGGCTGGAGCAGAAGTCATGTGGAAGTACTTTACAAACCCAAAGCAGGATGAATGTTGCCTTTATCACAGGCAATTAGAAGGTAAGGTTAAAGAAGGCTGAAAAATTATGCTAAAGCAAGGTGCTTGACATTTATTCAATGTGTGGCCTCAGGCCCAGGGACTGAGCTCTGTAACTTCAACTTACTTGTGAAAGGTGGGTAACAATAACCACCTATTAAGGGTTGCTTTGAGGTTGGATACTAATATGTCACAGCATTCAATAAATATTAGCTATTAATAAAAAGCTTTGCAAAGTCAAATAACATGGTAATAGTTTAGAGCTCAACAGCAATCTGATAGCCAGCCAGCCAATGATGGGAGAAGTAAAAACAAAGGTAGACAAAGCAAAGCAACAGTATAAAATCACAGGTGATACACAGGAGTTTGCATTTTATACTTCAAACCAAGAAAAACTGGAGTTGGCAGAGAAAGTATTGAAGTCAGGAATAGCAGGACTACTGCCAAAGTCCAAGCCTCCGAATGAAGGCCTGAAAGAAGACAGTAGCTGAAAGGCTGGAGAAAATGATTTGGCTATAAAAGGCACCTGGCAAGTGTCTGCAGGCAGCAGATGAAAGAGGAAGGCTCTCATTTGAGTGACTGAATGGCCAATCACACCATTAATCAAGATATGAAAAAGAAGAAGAAGAACAGAATTAGCAGTGTAGTGGCAGAGATAAAAGTTCTGTTTAAGTGACACAAATATCTTGAGGTGATAAAGATGCCCAATAGCCACTGCACATCCAGAGGTGATTGCAAAAGTGGGGTCTGGGCTGGAAGTACATAGACTTAGGTCTATATTTTCATGGGAAAAGATAAAGAGAAGTTGGAGTGGGGAGAGAAAAAAATGAGAGAAGACAGCAGTGGTGGTGTGTGCCTGTAATCCCAGCACTCTGAGAGACTGAGGCAGGAGGATTGTAAATTTGAGCTCTGTCTGGAAAACTTCGTGACTAGAGAGACAGTCTCAAAATAAAAAGGATCTAATGGTTTATAAAGGTGAAAGTGGAAGCCGCCACAATCTGCAAACTTGGGTCTCACTTCTCTCCTAGGCCTTGCGACGCTGAACTTTTGAGACTTACGCTCAGCACCTAGGACTACACTGTCCCTGCCCCACCCTAGCCCAGGTGCTGGGGATTGAACCCAGAGCCTCTGCACTGAACTACATCCCCAGCCCCCCCCCCCTTTTTTTAGCCAGGGTTTCCTAAATCACTAGCTGGCCATGCTGGGCTTGAACGTGTGATCCATCTGCCTCAACCTCCAGGAATTCTGGAATTACAGACAAAGTGTACCACTACAGCTGACAAAGCCCACATTTTGAATGTATCAACACTCATATCTGTTGAATAAAAAGCCCAAAGCAAACAAGATAATCAGTCAACAAGAGAAATGAGTGTGGGAGGACATAAGTAAACAGTGAAAGTGTTTAGGGTTCTTGCAATCAAGCTAGAGATCTACTTCCTGTCCATAAGCTTGAGCAAGTTCCTTAAACACACAATATTATCCTAAACACAGGACTCGCTCTAATGATAATGTATATATTTGTGCTTTTTATTAGTACAGGCTTCACAGTATAAAAAGCACGTTTTCTAGAACGTGTTTCGGGGGGAAAGTCAAGTACATCTTTTTACCTCCCTTCCTTTTCCCCGTACATATTTGGCAAACTCTTTATGACCAATCAACTTCTCCAGAAGTCTAAACTAAGAACAAAATATAACGAACAATTTTAAAGAAATTAGAAATCGACTCACAATCAATGCCATCTACTAATGTTTACTGTAACTAGGAACTGCACAGACACATCACAACCAAACCATGGAGATAAAACCACCTCCCCGGAAGACGCTAAAAAGCTCAAAGAAAGGTCATTTAACAATGATCTCCTTAACATTAGCATCCACTACACAAACCAAGTGGCCCCTTCTTCAAAATGTACCTGTTAACATAAGAAAGACCTCGGACAAAGCTTTCACCATTGTTACTAAACCAAAGCTTCTACTATACTATTCAGGTGACCCCCCAAAAAGTTGTTTTTGAGAAAAAAAAAGGGGGGGGGGGGGAAATAGACAACTTTCTTCTATCACACCATATTTGCTATTGTGAAATAAATACACGAATGAAAGAAGTAGGTCCTGAAAATTATACTTACAAATCCTGCTTCTGTAATATCTGGTGGCTCTGAAAAGAAAAAAATACAACGTGACCTCACTGGCACGGGATTTCCTTAGCAAATGGACACGGAGCGCGGCTGTTGGCGCACGTGGCCGGGGTTCGGGCGGGAACTGGGGGGGCCGGGACGCGAGGCTTCGGGGCCTGGGCTCGGCGACTCGGGGATGGAGGCCACGCGAAGAGGCGGGGACGCGAGGGCTCCGGGACTGCGGCGAGCCGCGGGCAGGGGGCCGCGTCCCGCTGTCCCCACCCACGGACGGGGTCGGGAAGGGCAGGCCCGGGCCCTACCGGCCGTGAGCCGCTCCTCACGCATGGCGCCGCCAGCCCCAGTCCGTGGGTCCGTCCTTCAGTCACGGCGGCGGGAGGGGGCGGCCCGGGGGCCGAGGCCGGGCCGGCCCGGCGGCTCGCGTGTCCCGCCGCGCCCGCGTCGCCGTGGAGCCGGGACAATGCGAGCCGCGCGGCGGGCTGAGTTCCACAGGCCGGGCAGTTGCCGTGGCGACCGCGACTTGCGCCCGTTACATCCGCCCAGAGCTGGGTGCCCGCGGAGCGAAGGGCCGCCGGCTCGGGAGTTCTCCGCTCTCAGCCCCTGGGGCTGGCCAAGCACGCGCCCCCCTGCCAAGCCCAGGGTGGGACAACACGCCGCCCGCGGTGCCAGGGGCGGACAAAGGTCAATGTCACGCGCCCTCGGAACCACTCTCGCCCTGCACTTTGACCCCAGCCGGTCAGGATTGCGGGGTGCTCCAGGTACCAAGCTTTAAGTGACCCCAGGGGGCTGCAAGCCTAAATCGCCTAGAACCAGCGCGCTGGGAGTCAAGTTATGATGGAAGAGTTTATGAAGAATGAAATTGGAAAACAACAAAAACTGTAAATAGAAAAAAAAAAATTTTTTTTTGAAAAGTTGTAGGTAACTCCAGTGCCCAGCCCCGGCCTCTCAAACCTCAAGAAAGCCCAAATCTGGTTGCTTGCACACAACCAAACATTCCCAGTGCAAATGCCCAAAAGAAAACACACCCCCTTCCCGGTCCTTTATCTTCAAATTTCATCATCTAAGTGGTACCTTAAAACCCCAAGTGAGTCAACCAGAAACCTGAGAGTTTCCTCCAAACCTCATATGTATTCAGCCAACCACTAGATCCTTCCATTTCTAAAATTATTTCTGAAATCCAGAATCTCCTCTCCATGCCCACTATAACAACTATAGTTTTAGTACCGGCTCCCATGTATCTGAATTGTTGTAAAAACTTCCTAAGAACTTGCCGTCTTCCAGTGACATGCCTTTCAAATCCACGCTGAAAGCAAGATCATGCATCTAGATACGAATCTGACTCGCTGAATTGCTGAGTGGCTTCATATTTGCCTCCTCTGCATAGAGGACATGAGTGGCTGGAGGCCCACAAGTACGTGAATGCTTAAGGAGTGAGAGCTTATACTTCAAGGAAGCATAACAGCAGCTGCTTACATTTATTGCTTTTTCAGTACAACCTAGGAAAACACAAAAAATCACCACTTTGGCCCGACAAAATCATAAGGTCAAATGAATTTGGTAAAGAAGTAGGGAGAATTTTGGGGAAACACATCTTAAGGACACTGTGGGTTCAAGGAAAGGACTCTGGCCTTCATTCTAAGTGACATGAAGTGGGGCTGGGGATTTAGCTCAGTGGCATAAATGCCTGCCTGGCAAGTGCGAGGTCATGAGTCCAATCCTTAGTACCAAAAAAAAAAAAAGATAAGTGACATGAACCACAGGAAAATTTGAACAGAGAGGTGTCATGAGTTTACTTTTATATGAAAAGAATCCCCCTGGGTGCTGTCTAGATTCAGATTCTGCATACCTTTTAAAGGTAGAACCTTGCAAACACATCCAACCTGTAGCCTGTGGACATACTTGTGTGTTAATTTTTTAAAAATTGAAAACTAAAGGACGTTTTGTTACATACACACATTATATGTTTTCTATGCAGTGTAAGACAGTAACTCTTCTCTCTTTGCAGCTCAGAAAAGCCAGGCCCAGTATAACCTGTGGGGGCAGGGAAGACCTTCTGAGACATTGGATATAGGAAGAAACAGAATACTTGAGACTAACTCCAATGGTTTTAACCAGAATAGACAGGTTAGAGCTGTCATCAAGAGAGAGAGAAAGCTGCAAGTGGATGCTGAGGGGAAAAGTATGAGAAATCTAGTAACCATTCAAATGATAATTTTTTGAGTTTGTAATTGACATAGAAACCAGGATTTTGGGTATAAATTTGAGAATCAACACATAAATGAACTTTGTAGGAGTTTGCTTGTACTGTTTCTGCCAGCAGAGAACAACTTTTCTAACCTTTCGTTTACTGAGTGAAATTTTCTCATTTTTCATGACCCAGCTTGGGAGTTCTCTTCCTGTACATCTTCTCATGAATTCCTTTTTTTTTTTTAATTTTATGGCTTTCTTCTTGTTCCTGTAACACTTGATGCAAACCCATATATTAAAACTATATTATGTTTAAAATTATCGACTCAAGAAGGAATACCCTTAACCTTCAGTGCCACCACCAGACAGTAAACTCCTGGGACTTTAGGGAGCTGCATCTTTTGTAACCTCCTCTCCCCTCTGCATCATACCCGCTACTGAATGTCCACCGTCATAGCTACCTCTTGACATGACCTTCTGGAGTTCCTCTCTGTTCAGGTCAGCCTTCATCCTGTTCTGCTCACAGACAAACTTAATTCTTGTTTCAGACAGCCATACCAATGAGAAGTTCATTTATTTCAATGTTGGCAGCTGACACATTCTTCTTTTGTGAGAAGCTTCCAGTAGCCTAATGTGCTTAGTAGTAGTATTCTCGATTTTCGGTTTAGGAAATTAAGAGTTAGGTAAGATAATTTACAGAAAGATACACAGCTTGAAAGTGTTGAAGCCACAGATTTCTGATACCAAAACCTTTGCTCCTTATCCATTATGTTATGTGATTTTTCTCTCTAAAATTAATCTCCTAAGATTAAAAAAAATAGCATGAGAATCACAAAGACAGAAATTTGAACTCAATGCCTGCATTACGAAGCATTACAATTTTTGGGTGATTTTTGGATAACAGTTGAGACATAATTCACATATCATCCAAGTCACCTATTTAAAGTACACAATTCAGTGGTTTTTATTATGTTCAGAATTGTGTAACTACCACTTTAATCAAATTTGGAACATTTTCATCACCTCAAAGAAACTCCATACCCTCTAAGAATTGCTTGCCTCCCTTAAGCATCCACTAATCCACTTTCTGACTCTATGGTGCTTATTCTGGAAACTTCATATAAATGGAATCACATTACTTGTAGTTTTTTGGGTCTGGCTTCTTTCATTTAGCATAATGTTTTCAAGACTCATCCATACAGTGGCATGGGTCAGTACTCTGTTCCTTTTATGACTGAATAATATTCCATTTCATGTCTTCATTAGCCAGTGGACATTTAGAGTCCCACTTTTTGGCTATTATAAAGAATGATGCTACAAACAGTTGTGTACACTTTTTTGTGTGTAAATATGGTTTCATTTCTCTTAGGTATCTTATTTAGGATCACAATTGCAGTGACTGTAGGGTTTGCTTTCTCTACATGCTGGCCTACATTTATCATCTAATGATGTCATCATAAACATCCTGTTAGATGTGCAGTGGTACTATTTGCCAGTTCCCTCATAACTAGATTCTGTTTACTTTCAGCTCTATGTTCCTCTTACTCCCATGATACACCACGGTGTGTTTTTTTTTTTCCAAAAATACCTTTTTTCTACAACAGTCGACATCATTGTTGAAGTCAAGGTTGTTCAAAACTGAAGGTTTTAATGGGAAATAGAACCATAAAAACAGAATCAAGCTTTGTCTGTCCTCTTATGGCTCTAGACATCTAGTTAGTAAATTTAAAGAGCTTGTAATTGCCTTACATACTTTCCTGTATACCTGGAATTCAACTGCAAGAACCCTGGAAAGCATTTTTGCAGCTGGTTTTCTCTACAAAACAGCGAAAATGATGATATAAGCCAAGGTGATAGAGAATAGGACAGAAGTGACCCCATGCTAATCCTCTAGAGACAGAATACAGTATGGTTTCAAATTTGATTTCCACACTACCACGCTAGAATTGACTTGAATTACAAGAATCGTTTGCAGTAAGGCTGTTGTATGTTGCCTGCTCAGGGTGAGAAACTGCAAGGATTTATTTAATGATTCAGCCCCTGTTGTAGAGACTACCTCATATGTGTATGTGCACATAACCCCTTGACAATCAAGAGCTAGGCCTATTACTTGTTGTTTAAAGATTTTAAAAAGTATCAGAATATCTTTGCTTTTGGTGTGGGAGGGTCTGATTTAAACCTTCATCTCAAATTTTATGAGTGTGAATAGCACCAAATGATAAAATTCATGGCCTAAAAATATATGGTAATAAACTGTGACCTACAACCTTGCAGCAACCAGCCTTGGAGTCCAAACAACAGCTTTGCAACAATAGGCTCAGAAAGGTCGGGATTGGCCAGTAACTACTAGGTTCCTGAATTCTGATCCCACTTTCCACTCAAAACCAATCAGAAACATTAGAAAACCAATCAGCACATTAGAAAGTTTTTCCTAGGAGCCGAATGGGAACTCAGCATCTAGTGGTATATGATCCCACCTCTACACTCCAGTTCCTAAAGTAACTGAAGGAGATTTAGATACATGGGCTATAAAAGTTATATGATATTTACTTACATTCTTTTGGTTATTGCTGATTATCTTTTTGTTATTGTTAAACTCTATGTCTTATCTGTATTGTATAACAACTACTCATATCCATATTACATTTAACTGGAAAATGGCCTCTTTTTCTACTTCTTAACAGTTCATAATTTTTTGAAGAACATAATTTAATATATTCATTAGGCAATTTCTTAACTCATGCAAGAAAACTACCATGTGGACCTGCTGGTTTAGATTTATTCTACTTGTCAATATATTCCATTCCATTGCTTTGTTTCTTGCACAGACTGATGAGATAATTCAAATTTGAACTCTTTCCTAGTTCTTTAAATATTGCTCTGATAGGGAATAAAAAGTCTAGTGACTCGAATTTTCTGTCAGCTCACCTGAGGCCAAATCGGCAGCAAGTGATGCTCCAATAAGCTGGGAGTAGCAGACCCAAATCTCTGGTGGTGCAGAAAAGGGGTCTATAGGGGCAAACAGAAAGCCAACACCAACCCCCACTCTAACACCAGTCTATACTCACTGATGTGGAATGAACATATTTGTATAAATTCTCTAAGTCTTAGACTTTTTGTGTAGAAAAAAAATGTTTGCAGACAAAAATGCTACCTTCCTCATAGGGTTACCCTTAACACAAAGAAATAATGTCTCCGTAGCTCACTGCCAGGCCAATTTAAAAACTAGCTACCAACAACAGAACTACGCAAACATGTTAGACACAAGTTCTGTCTCAGGGTTCCACAGCCCTTCGCTCATCCCTTTCAGGGTCTGTGGGGTTAGAGGAGCAGATACCAGAGCACTAAGAGGAGGTAAATAAGGAGGAGCCTGCCCTAGGGTAGATGTACTCCCCAGGAAATACTTCAGGAGCATTTACAGGGCAACTTGAATGTGAGAGTGAATTACACTGTGCCAGTACATAAGGTGGGAGGCAGCAGGGGAGAAAAGGAGGAGGCCTTAGGTCAGCGGCC